AGGCACGACATCCATACACCACCAAGTTCCCTCTAGTGTATTATCACATGTGATAAGGATGTTCTCGTAAAATGGAGGTGTTCTCATTTGTACCTCCACCTATATATATATATATATATATATATATGTGTGTGTGTGTGTGTGTGTGTGTTAGTTATATAATCAAAGTATTAGACTAGTGTTAGGGTAGTTTGGTAATTTCTATTATTCTATTCTAGTATAAATAAGTGTTTCATGTAACCTTTTTCATTCAATCAAATACAATTCAGTTTCTCATTTCAATAATAAACCCTAAAGGGGCGTTTGGTTCTCAGATTTCGAAGGAATCTGATAAATTTGAAATGTTGAATTTCATTAACCAAATTCAATTCCTTAGTTTGGTTCATTTTTTTTCACGAAAGGAATCTTTAAAATCTTACGAATTCCACAAATAAAGAAATTTAACATTCCTTAGCAACTACATGGGATTTGATGAAATAGAATTCTTTATCATAATACCAAATTTGCCCTTAACCCAATATACTCTAATCTCATAAAACCCAATATGACCATCGTCGACCATCTGAATCACCATCGACCATCGCCATCTGAATCACCGCCGACCATCGTTATCTGAACCATCGCCAACTACCACCGATCTGAACCACCGTTGATTTGAATCACCGTCGACCACTACAATCTGAACCATCGCCGGCCACCGCCAATCTGAACCACCATTGATCACCGCCATCTAAACCACCATGGACCACCACCGATCTGAACCATTGTCAACCATCACCATCTGAACCACCACGAACCACCATCGATCTGAACCACCGCCAACTACTACCATCTGAATCACCGCCAACCACCACCGGAACAACCAGCGTTCTGAACCACCCCCGATCTAAACAACATCCGACCACCGCCACCTAAAGCACCACAGACCACCACCGATCTAAACCACTACCGACCACAAGCGACTACCATCGATCTGAATCACCAACGGAAACCGTCGACCACCACCAATCTGAACCACCGTCGCCACCGATCTGAACCACCGTCCATCTGAACCACCGTTGACCACCTCCATTTGAACCATCACGCACCACCATAGATCTGAATCACTGCCGACCACCGCCATCTGAACCACTGTGAACCACCACCGATCTAAACCACCATTGATCTAGTTACGTTGTTTGGCATATGGTTATATTTGGGTTTGGGTATTTTATGGGGGTGTTTGGGATTGCTTATTTAGAGGGCTTTTTGACTTATTTCAGTCTGGTACCGGTGATAAGTTATTCTTAGTGTTTGGATTGGAAAAAAGAAAAATTGCTTATACCGGTGTCAAACCGGTAATAAGCAGTTTTTGATAAGTTAGTCTATTCTGACTTATCAAAATCAACTTTTACCGGTTTACCATTTTAACCCTGTTAATATCTTTTATACCTTATATCTCTTTATAACTCTCTATCGACTCTTCTCCAACATTGATAACTCTTCTTCTCCAACATTTTAACCCTGTTAATATCTTTTTGATAAGCTTTTTGGTTGTCAATGGCGACATGGAGCTGTTGCTTTTTTTTTTGGGCTTATACGCAGGACGTTTCCCATCGTCTCCTACAAAAATTCTACCATCACCTCCTCTATCCTCCATCAATCTCTTCATTCTGAAATCATCACCTGCTACATTTTTTCCTTTTTCCTTCTCATTCTTTTATGCTGTTTCTCAATTTTCATTGCTTTCTTTTTCTCCCAATTTCTTGATTGATTCCCTCTTCAATCTCGCCTCACACCACTATCTCCAACCCACATCACTGTCTCCAACCCCCTTCCACCTCCATTCCCTTCGCATCGCTTCTCTCCACAACACACACCCACCCCCACGCCCACATCTAAAACCCTAAATATGGTGGTTATTTGTTTGATTGTTGATTGAAGTTGTTGTGCAAACTCTTTGTTGGGTATATCCAGTGAGTTCTATTGATTGGGTTTTTTTTGTTTTTGTTTATTTGGATCAGATTTATTATTTTTGTCATAAATTATTAATGGTATTGGTACAAATGTTTGTTAATTACGTTAGTTTTTTGGTTATAAATTATTAATTTTATTGATATAAATTTTTGTTAAAAATGTTATTTTAAATGATAAAAAATAAAGTTTTACATGTTAAAAAATCAAATAAGTTAATAAGCAATCTCAAACACTTTCATAAGTCAATAATATAAAACACTGTCCTTTTTGGTCATTTTACATACATAATCAAAATTTGCCAAACACTGAAAAACAACTTATCAGCTTATTACTTTTTGATACCGCTATAAGCTAATCCAAACACTTTTTACAAAACTCCGGTTTGATACCACATAAGTTAATAAGCACTTATAACCAAAAGCATAAGTTGTTTTAAATAAGCAATCACAAACACCCCCTATATTGTTTTACATATTAAATCATTATTTTATTAAAGTATTTTTAGTTTTAAAAAAAATTAAAATTTTCAAAAAAGGGCATTCTAATCATTTACCAATATTTCATTCCAATTTCAAAACTACATTCTGTAAATCAAACAGATAGATTCCAATCCCTTAAAAGATTTCATTCCAATGTCTGCCAACCAAACAGGTGATCAAACATGACAACATTTCATTCCAATTTCTTCAAAGTCATATTTCTTTAACAAAATCTATTACATCCAAAAAACATTCTGCAAACCAAACGCAACCTAAATATAAAATGGAATTGTAGTGATTGAATGAAAATGGTTACATGGAACACCTATCTATACTAGACTAGAACAATAGAAATTACCAAACTACCTTAACACTAGTCTAATACTCTAATAATATGTATAAAGTCGGGTTCAGATGAGAACAGTGACCAAATAATAGAACACGGTAACGGTCAAATCATATGTGATTCTTGTAAACTTGCATGCGACCAATTCGCCTGCACAACTCTTGTTTTGAGCGGGCTCTGTAATCGCATTTGATTTCAACAGAAAATAACATTTGATTTGGTCATTCTTGTGTTTTTTTACATTGTTCTTGTTTAAACCTCCTTATGTGTGTGTGTAGCGTGAATCAGCCATTTCCTTTGCTTCCTCGATCAAACACCATGGCACTGCACTGATATTTCGTTTGCATTACGCCTTTTTGAATTATGCATTTAGTAAGTACCAAAAGTTTTTATTTTATGGAATATAAAAGCATCATCGTCGAGTTTATCATGAATTTGTGATTGTATAATTATTGGATTGAAAAGTATTAGACTCAAATTGCATAAACCGCACCAAACTGCACTGCATTTTGCAGTGCGGTTTTTGCGATTTGAGGCATATGCCCTGCAGTGTGGGAAAATCTTCAAACCACATATGCGGTGCAGTTTGCCGTTTGACCCTAAACCGCACCAAACCGCACAGCAAGCATTCTAAGATTGATGGTTCTTAAAAAATATGCTTTAACCCTTAAAGTTTAAAATGGAGATGAAAAAGTTATCATGGGGTGGCATAGAAACCTAAGTGATTTATATTGATTTACATAAAGTGTTACTCTCAATAGTCAAATATTGTGACGCCAAATTATGTCAATCTATATCTTAAAGGTATATCATAACATGTGTTTGAAGGTGGAAGAGATCGATGATGCTATATAAAAATAACATGGTATATAATATTAATTTAGGAAAAATTATGATTTTGTGTCTAGGAATATTAGGAAAAACAGTTTTATATGAATTATTAGTATTTCTTAAATTCAATGTTATTTCTAAGGGAAAATTGCATCAAAATGGAACTAACTTTCACCTTATTCCTATTTTGGGGAACCAACTTTTAAAATTTTTATTTAAGGGTCTCTATCAAACTTTTTGTTTATTTAAGGGTCTGGTTGACCTGTTGAACATGTAACAGGTAATTTAATATGACTTGGAAGAAAATTATTTAAACAAATATTATGTAGAGATTATTTTGACAAAGTATCATTATAATTAAAACAAATCAAAATGAAGTCCGCTTCACGTCTCCTACCTCAGTCGCAATCTTGCCCCTTCCTCTTCCTTCAATCGTCGTCGTCCCATAGCCTCCTGCCACTGTAGCTTTTTGCCCTCTCCAACAGCCGTTGCCCCTCCCTCTTCCTTCAATCGCAGTCGTCCCATAGCCTCCTGCCGCTGTAGCTTTCTGCCTTCTCCGACAGCCGCTGCCCTCTCCGCATTTTATATTTAATATTTATTTTTTATTGCATCAATTAATTTTTTCTATTAAAAAAACGAGATTTGGAAACATCTTTCAATTTGATATTTGATTTTTTTTTATTTAAAAAACGAGATTTGGAACGAAAAATAGATTTTATTGCATTAATTTTTGAAAAAAAAAACGAATTTTAGTTAATTTTATATAATTATTTTGCAATTTTAAAATATGACGTGAATTTAAAATAAAAAATTAATATGACGTGGAATATCTTAGTTGGTAAAAGGTCTGGATTATGTCAGCATTAACAAGTTAACAAGTCAACCAGACCCTTAAATAAACAAAAAGTTTGATAGAGACCTCTAAATGAAGATTTTAAAAGTTGGTTCCCCAAAATAGAAATACGGTGAAAGTTTGTTCCATTTTAATGCAATTTTCCCTATTTCTAATGATAAAAACAATATATTGAAAAAATAATACTTATTAAGAGCCTCTTTTTTTTACTTCTCATCCAGGGCTTATAAAATATCAGAAACGGACCCGGTCGGAATGGACAAAAGGGAACACAAATAAAACATAGTTGACATTTTAAGTTCTCGGTTTTAAATCGAGATGCACACTGAGAGCATCACACGGACACGTTACCAGTATTTGTAAAAATGACATCTTTTTTTTCCTTTCGTTACTCCATCCACCCCCAAACCCTACATCTTTTAGTAGAATATACGAGACTTGTATTAACTTTACATTTTGAAAATTTTCTTTCATTTTAACAGAAAAAAACCGTAAAACGTCAGCTTTTGATCTATGAAACCAATGTACACTTGTGTAGAATCTAACTCATCTTCTGGTTATACCTTCATGAGGGACACCTTTTGCTTTGAAAATCTTCCGACAAAAGCTGTTCAAACAGGTCATTCAACCTCGTTGCACCTGGGCCCGGCATGAAAACCGAATCATCACCACGAACCGAACAAGGGTCTGACCCATGGTCCGAGCCGCCAACGCACCATGCACCACGAGCAAACCGATGAGTACGGCCCAGAAGTTCTTGATCGATCTTGTCCAGAACCACATCGTCTTTCGCAAACTTCCTAGCAAACGGTGCGCTGCTATTGACCATTTTTTCAAAGTCTTTGATCGTCAAGTAACGTGGGTGCTGCTTCGGAGGATAGTCCCATGCGATATAATGAAGATCGTGGCTAATTGCGGTGTTAGTGAACTCCTCGGTGTTGCAAATAACGGTGTGAAAGTAGCCTTCTGGGGAGGATACAAAGTTCGTGTAGTACATTAATATGGTCCTCGGAAGATTGTCCCATCCCCATATACAATATTCCACGAAAGATCGTGTTAGCATTCCCCATGCTGAGCCTGTAAACAATATATCCAACTAATTAAACCAAACCAAACCAAATGAGTCTAGTTTATCCCACTTGAAGGTGGGGTCGGAAGTAAGATGTATGCAAACCTAACCTATACCATAAAGAGTAGATCGGTTGTTTATGTATATATGCAACTAACCAAGATAAACTCGGTATACCCCACCTGGAGGTGGAGTCTTGGAGTGGGATGTACATGGACCTGACCGCTACCTCAAAGAATAGAACGGTTGTTTCCATACATATACAACTAATTAAACTAAACCAAATGAGCCCAGTATATCCCAACTGTTGGATGAGTCTTGGGTGGGATGCAGGCAGACCTAACCTCAACCCAAAAGTAAGAGCGGTTGTTTCCACACATATACAACTAATTAAACCAAACCAAAACAAGCCCAATATATCCCACATAGAGGTGCAGTCTGAAGATGGGATGTATGTAAACCTGACCTCTACTATTTGGGAGTAGAGTGGTTGTTTCTGTACATATATACCTAATAACGTAGTGAAAAATGGTAAGTGGTCGCCGCATAGATGGTTTGACCTAAGAAGTCAAAATGAACTTAGCAACCTAAGCCTATTTATACCCGAAATTAGATGTCTTACCGGTAAACAATTTGAAGGACGTAGGAAGAGACCTACGTTGTGAAGTGATTGCAAGATCTGATTTCTTGGACAAATAAAGACCTGGGTCGACGATAATGGGCTTCGCCCTCTGGTTCCTGCAAAAACAAGCATATACAATTATCATTGTCTTTTCACAAGCCGGGGGGGTCCTTATGAAAACAACTACTTTACTCTTTGGGGTAAAGGACAGGTCTGCATACATCTCACTCCACTGACCCCACCTCCACCTCCAGGTGGGATATACCGGCCCCGCAAGAAAAGAGATTATACCAAAGCAAAAGCATATCAGGTATCTACTTACAATTTCCATCCTGTAAGCTTCGTATGTTCGATGAAGTTGAGTGTTCTTGACAAATTAGAGAAAACATGAAGCAAATCTGCACGATCAAAAACATTAAATAAGTACACAATTTATTTAAATTGGCAAAGAAGGGGGATTTGACTCGGGTCAAGGACAGACAGGATACAAGACGACTGTTTATCGAATATCTAAAGAAAACCGATTCGAATAGGATGCCACCGTTCAGGGGCGAGTCTTAGGGAAATCAGTAAAGTTTAACAGATCAAGTTACAAAAACAACCCTTTTTGCATACTGCAAGGGAAAGATTCCGTTCACTGTCCTCCTAACTGTCATGAAGCTAAGGACCACTGATGCATCGGCGTATCTTCTTTCACAGTTTATCAATGCTTTCACTTTATCACTCACCCAAGAGTACGTAACATTCAAGTGACACACTTCTCACAAGCAGGGGGTCTTCACGGAAATAGACGCTCTATTGTTTGAGGCAGGGATCAGGTCTGTGTACACCTTACCCCCAAACCCCACCTCCGGTTCGTGGGATATATTGGGTTCGTCTGGTTTGGTTTTAAACAGTCGATATGCCTAAGCTCATGTAGCATATTAGCCAAGGGAAGATATGGTAAGTTATATTAGTGGTTTTATCACCATCACATTGCCTCTCCGAATAGTTCTATGTACTATAAAGCCATGTTTGGCAACCATAAGCTAGCTTATTTTTGAGCTTATTGAAAAAGTCTCGTTTAATTAGCCATTAAGTTACCTTATAAGCCAGCTTATTGAGAAGCTACTTCAATGTGATAATACAGCATCAATAAGAAAGCAAGTTATGAGTTGAATGACAATAAACCAAACAACTAACGATAAGAAAGTTTCGAACTCACCATCTTGTGTCACAAGCGGATAATCCGAAGCACTGAGATTAATAAACCAATCCCAATTCGAGCTCTCCTTCAACAAAATCGCGATTGCTTGAAGGGTCGTTGCAATCATTGTTGGACCCTTATAAGTCACCAAATTAGACTGAGCCATCACCCTAACATTCTCGACTTCAGAAAACGTCGGATCGTTCTTAACAGCCATCGTTAACTCCATCCTTTCTCGAGGTGGAGCTTCAAGATCCATATGCAAAATGTACTGATTTCTTGGATGATAAACAGCTTGCAAAGTTCTCATCATTCTTTTGCTATCACCCTTTGTACCCGAAATAAGGTAGGCCAATCTAGGAGCTTTTTCTTTAGGGAATTCACTGGGTTTCTCTATATTCATCTCAACAAAATACCCACCAGAATCATCTGATTTTGCAAAAGAAGCATCATCTAAATGGGATGAATCTTGATTGTAGGATGATGATGAATAAACCCCAAAAAGGGCAGCTGAAATTAGAGTAATCCAAACAAGCAAACTCACAAAAAAGGGGATTAACCACTTTCTATCACTATTGTATATCCTCCCTGAATAAATATTAGCATGTTTCTTGAAATTCTTACCAAAGATTGACATCTAGGGCTTCAAATTGACGAAAGATTCGATCTTTTTGAATCGAAAACACATCAAACCCTTGAATACCCCCAAAATCAAACACACCCAAGTGCCAGAAAACAAGAAAGATCAATCTTTTGCGATAGAAAATCAAAAACGATGAACCTGTTGTGAAGAAATGAGTTGAATTCGAGTTGACTGAAGAATCTTTGACCTTCGGACAAGGGTTTTCAATCGATTGCGAAATGAACAGAGTTTGAAAGATTGGTTGAGTTTCAGTGGGCGAAAAGAAAAGGGGGAATGGTGGGTGGGAGATAATTTATAAGTAAATGGGAGTAGATGATTGCTTCGATTGAGGTGGAAGGGACAGTGGAGAACAACATCAAGAAGCCTTCATCTTTATAAAAACTATTTTGAGTTGAACATTGGTATGGAGTAAGGCATAAGTTGAAATTAAAATAGACTTAACTTGTAGATTAAGGCGTTCAAATTGACTAATGACCCCTACATTGTGTTTTGTGTTCAATCGGGTTTAAACCCAACAATGGCATGAAACCGAAAGACTGTGGAAATCGGGAATCGGACAATGAACTTTGACTAGAATTTTGGACTTGTTTTAGGGTTTGATTAAGATATACTACTTACATAAATGACGTCGTTTTGTTAAGTAAAAAAGGAACGGAAACTAAATTGATAGTGAAATATAGGTATTGGATCATTTCAAGAACTGGGTTTTTTGTTACTATTTAAAAGGAGTATCAGGTAAGACATTTCAGTTTTAATACAGTTATAGTTTAATTTATCGGTTTTAGGATTTCATACCAAATTTTGCACATTATAACTTATAAGAATAAAATAAATCATTCAAACATGTCATTTAATGCAACTTAATGACATTTGAACATAATTAAATTCATTTTTAAAATAAGAATATTCATTTGAAAAATAACACGTCACCAAATATAAGATATTAATGTTAAAGAGTAACGGGTGTCATCATGTCTTAATATAGCCAACTAGTCATATACACTCGATTCTCTTTTAAACTTATCCCTATGTATGATTATGAGATGTTTGGGATTGCTTATGAAAACTGCTTATTGACTTATTTCGGTATGATATTGATATTAAACTATTTTTAGTGTTTGGATGGAGGGAAAAGAAAAATGTGTATATCGGTGTCGAATCGCTAATAAAGAGTTTTTGATAAGTTACTTCCCTTTAACTTATGAGATTCAGCTTATTAGGTTTGAAAACCAATTTACCTTTTTCACCCTCATACGCTTCCTTCCTTTAACCAAAAACTCTCTAATACGTCTCCTTCCTCAAGCAACCAATTCATCAAGGGACCTTTGACCATTCCTCTGAAATCGAACCAGTTCTAGAAATTGAACCAGATTTCTTGCTGTGATTTCTTCTCCATCAATAGAAATCGCTCGAGACCTTCATCTACAGAAATTGAATCACACCTTCGATCGAAACCTTCTACCAGTTCCTACAGAAATCGAAAAGGGTTTAGGGTTCTTCCTTCAGGGTTACTTTCTGAAAAGGGTTTAGGGTTCTCCCTTCAGTAAGCGACCTTCGAACACATTTCCTCCTTTTTCATGTCTTTTTTGGTCATTTTACATGTATAAGCAAAATTTATCAAACAACTTATCAGCTTATTATGTTTTGGTACCGCTATAAGTTAATCCAAATTTATCAAACACTAAAAACAACTTATCAGCTTATTATGTTTTGATACCTTCGAACACATTTCCTCCTTAAGTTGCTTAAATAAGCAATCCCAAACACCCTCTGTATACGCACATACAAATAAATTATTTATGGGTTTTTTCTATTAATTGAGTCCAAAATACTACAACTTTAACATTTGGCTTTTTTCTAAAAAAATACATAAAATTTTTGGCTTGTAATTTTACAATTACATACAACCAATAAGCTTTAACTACAAATACTCTAAATTTTGTTTATTATAATATAATTTAATATCCAACCATTATTAATTAAATATTAAAATTAAAAACAAACATTATTCAATAATTAAATAAACAAATCTTTTAAACTCATTAGAAAATAAAAATAAACGCGCAAATAAAAAATTATTGAGATTCCGTCTTCAATCACATCGTTGGCCATAAAGCAATCATACCCAACAACCAATTTTCACAAATTCAAATGTCTACTAATTAATTAACACCAATATTAATCAACACTCCCACCACTTTCAATTACTCTTTTTTATATCGGTTTCATATTCATCATAATCAGATAAACGTATATTTAAAATTAAACAGGATGAATAATATCTGAAATTAACTCTTAGATCTTTTATTTAGGGTTAAATGCATGAAATAGCAACTTACTTTCATAATTTTTCTTATTATAGCATTCTGCTTTTGTTTTTCTTTATTACAACAATGTACTTTCAAATTATTTTTTATTAAGGCATCGTACTTTAAAAAATCTACCCATTATAGCAATGGGTAACCTGTTACCTTTTAAACCGGTTAACCCTTTGACTTTTTTTTGTGGCTTTAATGAGGTGATGTGGATGGCACATCATTTTGATGACTTAATTAAAATAAAAATAAAAACATATTTCAAATTATTATTAGTGATTTTTATTTTCCATTACTATGATTTAAAAAAACATTTAATTTTTTTGACTTTTTCTTATTAAGTTGCATGTAAATTAAATATTCTATAGTAAAATATTTCTTAAATAAATATGCTACATTATTTTCGAGATACTTTTTTTAATAAAAAAGTTACACTTATTATTTTATGTTGTTAAAAAAATACATATCTTTTAAAGTTCTCTCTAAAATGTTTACGAAATAAATTGTGTTCAACAATTTTTTAATTTTGTTATATTAATAAATAATTCAAAAAAATCTAATTAATTTAATATATTTATAAGTTTTTGAACAAATATGATATATTCTTTAAAATATAATTTTTTTGGGTAAAAAAAACAATTCTTATTTTATTTTTTCGAAAAACACATTTTTTGAAAAATATTAACGAGATAAGTTGTCTTATACAAGTTTTATTAATATTGGTGTATTAATGAATAATTTAGAATTTTTTTAATTCAATTAATATATTTATTAAATAACATGTAAAATATATAAATATTAAAATTAGATGTATATTATTTAATAAGAACTAGTAGATGTTATAATAAAATAATTTTGAAAATACAATGTTGTAATAAGATAATCACGTACATATGGACAATGAGGTGGCATGGAAACCTGGTACAATGAGTAAATTTAAATCAAAAGGTTACCTAATGCTATAATAAGTAAGTTTTTCAAAGTACAATGTTCTAATAAAAAATAGTTTGAAAGTACATTGTTGTAATAAGAAAAACTGGAAGTACAATGCTATAATAAAGAAATTTATGAAAGTAGATTGCTATTTTGTGCATTTTACCCTTTTATTTATCAATAATGTACCTCTGTATCAGCCACACCAATACACCAAAGGCAATAAAATTTATAGTTTTATATTGAGTTGTGTTTCGTTGTTTTAGAACTTGAAAATATATTAACCTAACCCAAATAACTATTTTTTTTGTTTAATAAACCTACCGCAAAACCGAAAAAACATATATATAAGTTGATATATTGTTTTAAATGCATGATCTTCTAACAGATTTAAGACTAAACCGTATAAAATATGCATTTTATTTTACGATGCGGTATTTTGTTGTTTGAGGCATCCATGGTGTGATTTGTGGTTGGGAAAAATGTTCAAACCACACATGCGGTTTAGTTCGTGGTTTTGGCTATAAGTTGCAGCGTACCGGGAATACACCTAATAAATATAAAGAAAATGACTTAAAAAAACTTTTTATAAAATGCAGTTTAAATTAATAGACCTTTTCAGACGGTAAACGTTTCTTTGAACATGGAACATTGAGCTTAAAAGGCAGAGGTCGAATTTATTTCTCTCGATACATAGAGTCGTGTTTTATAGAATTTATGAGAATTGAAATGGTAGGTCGGCGGTAGTGTTGTGTGGCTTCAACTGAAGCCACGATCGTGTTGATTCATCAAATCTATGATATAAATAGAGAGATGATGTCATTTATAAAAAAAAGCCCTCAAAATCTTACAAAAATTTATAAGAAACAGTGAGACGTTGACAACAGTGACGGACCCAGAATTTTTTTTAAACGGTGGCACCATTTGAACATAAGAAAAAAAATATAGAAATTTTTTTTCAAATTGTGACACTGTTTGACTATAAGAAACAAATATAAGAATTTTTTTTCAAACGGTGGCACTATTTGACTAAGAAAATGACACTAACATGATTTGGACTTGGGTGTGGGGTGGAATAAAAAGCTTGCAAACCAACTTTACCAAATAAAACTTGTTCTCATTGTAGTTTCAAAATACATACGGTGGCACACAAGAAATTAATACGGTTCCACCGTTCACGAAACCTTAATTTTTTACCCTTCGGCGGAAAAACGATACGGTGGCACGTGCCACCCATGGCACTTAACTAGGTCCGCCTATGGTTGACAAATAAGCCATCATGGTCGTGTTTGGCCAATAGCTTGAGGCACATTTCTACGATGATTTTGAATCGAATGCAAGTATTTATGGTCAATATTGAGTCCATAGTAGTTTGATGTAGCAGTCGTAAGCCACTAACGGCTCTGGGGCCAACGATTTAGGTTGTCATCATTTGTAATGGGTGGAAGTTCGTTCTTTTATAAAATCCAAAATTATATGTGGGAGTTTTAAGAGGTATTAACGGCTGATTTTTACACCTTGAGATGGGTGATGTACTAACATATCTCATTATTTACAAAAAAAAATGAATCAGGTCGTGTCAATAGCATCAAGTCATAATCGTGTTGTGAATCACGGTTGCACGTGGGGTGGGGCGAACTAAGTTCACATTGTAGAGAACCAGGTCGTGTCATTACAACAAAATCATATTATAGGACGTAAAAAATGTCTAAGTGTAGGTATTTAGTTTATATGACCAAACAATTG